AAAAACAATAAGATTTGATGTCTGTGCAGGCAGGACTCCCAAAAATGTCCTACGAAGAATTCAAATCTCGACTGATGGATGTCAAGTATTTGAAAAAACCAGAAAAATCCGAGAGAGCAAAAGAACTTGTCCTCGACGGAGAGATTCCAGAAAGGTGCACCGTTCTGCACAGATGTTTATTTTGTTTTCAATCAATGTTGTTCTGCAGTTTTGATGCTCGACAGAAGTGGCCGCAGTGCAACTCAATCAGCCTGATTCGGGATCAAGCTAATTGTGGTAAAAACACCAAAAACGTACGTCTAACATTGCATCAAAATCATGTCTAGGATCATGTTGGGCCGTATCTGCAGCATCTGCCATGTCTGATAGAGTATGCACCCAATCAAATGGTGCTAAAAAGGTACAGTAAGCAAAATTGGATTTAACAGTCATACTTTATGTTGCAGACACTGGTCTCAGACAGTGACATTCTTGCCTGCTGCGGTTCCAGTTGCGGCCTTGGGTGAGTACTGCTTAAGTTGAAGTCATTTTGCAGTAAAAGCTATACTTGAAAATGATTACCTAGTTGCCAAGGATACTTTTGGCCCTATCTCCTGGGTTGCCAATCAAATGCGATTATGACACTAGAGTCCGCAGGAAAACTGTTGCATGGGCAGAGCTAAATTGGATTAACCAATTGGCTCAGCGGTGGTGGCATCAAGAGCCTAACAAGACTTCAGTAATTGCAAACTTGCATGTTGCCTTGCGAGAACAATTGGATCTTCGGTACGAAGAGAGATCATGTTTTACGCAGAAACGTTGATGAGTTGTAGTGATTTGTAAGCAGCTGTAGAAACTCAGCCACCGTCCAAAACCATTTTAGCCATCTGCAAGGCTTTCACTCAAGACTTTACTGAGGGTTTATTTTTTTTATAAAACCCACAGACTTCTCCTTCCCATTTCAGCGTTGCTTGAAAGAAAGCTTACAATGGAAGTGATTTCAAGGCCGCGGCCAGATATGAGACATATCATCTGAAGCACTTTCGAGCGCTGATTTTGAACCTGCGTTCCTCTGCGGAACACTCTTCCGGAAATGAAAGCCTGAAATCCTGTTTTTGGGCGTTCCTTTTATCCCAGGACGCTACTTTGTGAGCTAGAGTGCAGTGGTTAGTGGTTAATTTGCTGGCTTAGAGGAGAGAGAATGGTTCAAATCCAGTGGATAGCGAACACTTTGCATTTTGAGTGTGAGTTCAAACCTGACCTCGTCTGCAGACATAATAATTTCTTGGTGGGTGCTTGCAAGCACAAGAAGTGCGCGATTCTATTCACCGTTTCTGCTGTAAAAAGTGCCTGTTTTGTTCACTATTGTTACTTCAGCCCCTGTATATATTTTGCATGTAAAAGCAAAACCTCAACAAGCAGCAAGCAGGGGTGCCGGAATTCTTTGGAGTGAAATATGCCAGAGTTATTGTAAGTGTCTGCAGACAATTCAAACGGCGTATCTGGCTCGCTCTTAAAATGCAAAAGGTTTGGCGCTCCTACAGATTCGAACCATTGACTTTCGCTTGTAATGCAAGCACGTTGACCTGCTTCACCAATGCGGTATAGCAGCGGCGTTCACCTAAAGGCAATAAATCGGCAAAATGAACTCTAGTCAGATTTTGGTGGCATTAGGTAGAGCTGCGCTCGGACCACGATTATTAATCGCACATAATGTTTTATAGGGTTTAGATTAGGAAAAGACGGTACATAATCAACAATTTAGGAAGCATAAGTATGGATGAGTTTCCATACTGCACCCCGCGGGTTTTACTGTTTCGCCGCGT